TTTTTTGGAAAAGAAAATGAATTTTGCAGCATTTGTTTGACGGTCGATTGAGTGGTTCGTTAGTGATATCGTATTGTCCAAAGAATTGCGATGGTCAACTATGTTTGCATTCCTCTCCAAAGACGTCTGCTTCGTATTTTGTGCAAGTACCACACGCCATCATGAAACAAGTTGGTTGTCTTTCATGCAGTTGTTCATCTCTGAACGTATACCCATCCATATGTAACGTATATCCGTATATCCTTATATGAGATTATTCATCTGAACGTTTATCTATCCGCATGTAACCGCACCCTACGAACCAGAACAGTTGAATTCACATTGAATTGTTGAAGGGTGTCGAAGTGGTCACAACACATTCCATCCATAATTCACTTCACTCTGTTGGTGGTATTCAAATGTTACTACCGTTATTCACACAATTGGATCTACCGCATCGAGATGTGAACGATTCATATGATTATGATATATGGTACGTTCTTGTGAGAGATTCATTGCATTTGTGAATTGTTGTTGAACATTGTTCAACGGTTTTTGTGCATTTTAACAACGGAGGACGCATACGATGATTAGAGATTTGTGTGTCCACTCATTGGTCGTATAGAAACGAGAAGAAAGCTTAAAAAGTTGATTATCAATTGATAATCATTCGAATGATCAGCTGAGTCGGTGTTGCTGTTTTTAGCGTATTCAATTAAAAGTTGTTGGGCGCTAAGTGAGTTTAACTCTTAATTTGAGTACAAATGATGTTTTATGCAATTGTTTTATTCAACATTAAAGCGAGACTAAAATTGAAACTAGTCAAACGTTCTGATTGGACAACTGAATAGGAGACGAAAAAAAACGCAAACGAATCAGTGAAGACGATAAATGGGTCTTTAGCTGGAATTGCACTACAAATAAAGTATCTGGAATTGAGTAAAATGGCAGTAATCACTTAAAGTATGTCATAAAATAATGTCACAAAACGATGAAACAATGCAGAGAGTTGGTTGAATCAATTCACAAGAATTACTGCTCATTCAGTGAATAAATAAAGAAATATGCCAGAAGCACATTAAGCATCACGCATCTTTGAATCTTTATGTTCACAAAAGTATTCTCGTGATGAGTTCAAGGGGAGATATAGCTAAGAGGCAGTCGTTTGTTTATCTCGTTAACGCAGATGCGCGTCGACATGCAAATGCAATAAAACTTTTTCGTTTATTGTCATTTTCTGATTGTAAGACAAAATGTTCTCTATTGTTAAGAAGGATTAGGGATGGGAATAGAGTTTAGTACGCGATTGAAGAAGACGGATTTGGTGAATGCATTGAAATATTTTAAATGGAAAGAGAGAGCATCAGATGAAACACTTTGCAAAATGAATGAAGAATGTATGGATGTTCAAACGAATTTATTAGCGACTTTATTCAAATAATGCATAAGGACTAGTAGAACTGAATGTGAATAGTATTTGTACTAATTTAAGAAATATTTTAATTCAAAATGCAATTGTTTAATGCATTTTGTTTGGAAATATTAACAGTAATTCAAATTTGAGAAGATATGATAGGGCTTGTTATTGTCAGCAGAATTTTGTTTGTGTTTAATTTGTTGGGTTTTTGTGAGATCGACGTTTGAAACATTGTCAAATTTTGCAGTTCCACATTACTGTCAGCGATATCGCTACTGTTAAGCACATCGTCGAGTGCACAACAACAACTCTTCCATAACAAAGGATTTCTGATTATTTCGAAAGTGCTCCTTGAGGTTCGTTGGAAAATGCTCTGCACTTTTATTCGAGATTGTTTTGCAAGATTCTTCTAGAAGTAATTTGAAATTTTGTTTGAATTTCTGTTGTCGTTCATTCGTTGTGAATTTAATTGAAGTATTATTTAGGCAAATGCAAAACATTTGAGAGATAGTGTTCTGGATGAGTTATTCGGAATGGCCAAGTTCCTGTTGAGTTGTCCGGCGGGTTTCCCTCTTTTGAAACAGCTATTCGACCATATTCTTTTTAATCCTCAACTTTGGATCAGAGCACCTTCTGAGGTATTATTTGTTTTTGTGGCGTCCGTTGTTTTATTTTCACTTTAAAAAATTTTATTTCATTTTCGTCCTTCACATTAATATTTGTTGAGTAGCTAAAGAGCGAATTAAGTACATCGATCATCGATGATCCAATTTCAGATCCAAATTCGTCTCTATCAGTATTTGGTGAATGATTTTTTGTCGAATACAAATTTCCTCGCAGTTGTACGTCGCAGTTCAACAGTGGTGGAACTGTTGAACGCAATCAAATACTACTATTGGGTTGTTCTACCGAGAGCACCATCGACATATACCGTTAAACATCTCGAGAATAGACCAGAAAGGTTAATCGCATTCGTTCGGTGATGGCGATTAAATTTGCAAATATCAATTGAATTGAGAATCCGGATGAACCTTTTCGACTTGAAATCGTTGCTGTCGTTATAGTGACAGTGGGAGCGAATTTTAATTTTTTTCGTTGCTGTCATTTTTAATATTTATGGATGATAATAGCGTTTGTCTGTAGTTCTTGTTTAGCGGCGTTGTTGTTTTCTTCGTTTTGAATTTGTTGCAAAAAGTAGAGAAATGTAATGCGCTCCAGTAGACGCGATGATCATTAGCATTGAGTATTTGATTGCAAAACAGCTTGTGATTATAGTTTATATGACAAAATTGATTATAGTATCGAAGTTTGGTATCTGGATAATTCATTTCAATTGATTTACAATGGAAGTTGAAGTGGTCTAAATGTGGTGACTTTTATGAAATGAAGAAAGAACATTTCCAGAAGTTGATGAAAAGTTTTGATTGAAGCTGGTGATTGCAGGGTGGATATCGTGACTGTGCGTGCGCATATGCTGGGATT